GATGCCACCCACACAACCCAATGCATCCAGGAGCCACCCAAAACATTCCACTAAACACCCGGGGATTCCACACACACGAGTGCAGTAAACACCTAGGTATTCCCCCACACCAGTCCACTAATACCCGGGATTCCACCAACACCAGTCCTTAAACACCCAGGATGCCACACACACCAGCCACTAACACCCAGGATTCCACCCCCCCGGGCCCACTAGCCCCCCGGGATGCCCCCCACACCAGCCACTAAAACCTAGGATTCCAACCCCCTGACGTAAAAATCGGGTTGCCACCCAATCAGTCCATAACACCCAGAGCTACCATGCCAGTCCACTAACCCCAGGATGCCACCCACAAAAGCCCCCAAATCCCAGGATGCTACCCATACCATTCACTAACCCCCTGGAATCCACCCATACCGACCATAACACCCTGGACGCCACCCACACCGACCAAACTCCCAATGCCACCCATACCAGTCCACTAACCCCCAGGATGTACCCATACTAGTCCACTAACACCAGGATGCCACCCACACCAACCCACTAACCCCCAGGATACGCCCCACACTTGGGGCAAAACACCCGGGGATGCCCCCACACCAGACCCTAACCCCCAGGAGCCACCCACCCACCCCACTAACACCCCAGGATCCCCCCACAAGTCCCTAACCCCAGGATACGAACCACACTTGGCAGTAACCCCCAGGAAAACCACCCAACCAGAACAAATCCCCCAGGATGCCACCCACACCATCCACTAACACCCAGGATGCCCCACACCATCCACAACACCCAGGATGCCCCCCTCACCTTTCCACTAACCCAGGATGCCCCCACCCCAACCCACTGGCACCCTGATGCAACGCACACAAGCCCACAAACACCCAGGAGCCACCCACAGCAGTGTACTAACACCCGGGGCCCACACACACCAGACCACTAACACCCAGGAGCCACCACACCAGTCCACAACCCCGGGATCACCCATACAACCCCACTAACCCCCGGGGGATCCCTCCCACCCCCATTCCCACAACCCCAAAGGGGAGGGACCCCCCCACCCGTCCCTAATCCCCGGGGGATGCCACCCACACGAGCCCATGACACCGGGGATGCCACTCACACCACCCACAAACACCGAGGTTCAACCCCTACCAGCCATTAACGCCCCCGGGGTTGCCCCCCCATACAAGTCCACTAACACCAGGAGACACCCACACCTCCAAACCCCCCCAAGAAACACCCCCACCAATAAAACAAGATCCCACCCCCCCAAAATCCACTAACCCCCCGGATGCCCCCACACCAGACCTAAACACAAGGAGGCCCCCCACCCCAGTCCAATAAGACTCAGGTTCCCAACCCCCCACACCACAACCCCGGGGATGCCACCTAAAACCATTCCACTAACACCCACGTGCCCCAACATGTCCATAACACCCCGGGACCCCACGCACACCATCAACTAACTCCCAGGAGAACCCACACCAGTCCACAAAACACCCAGATGCCACCCACCCATTCCCACTAACACCCGGGGGATCCCACCCCCACCGACCACAACACCCGGATGCCACCCACAGAAAATCTCAACACCCGGATGCTACCAACCAGCCCACAAAAAACCCAGGGATGCCACCCCCCACTCACAAACACCCAGGATGCCACATCCCGTCCACTAATACCCGGGTGCCAGCACACCTCCACTAACACCCAGGAGCTACCCCCCAAAGTAAAATTAACCCCCAATCCACCCAAACCAGTCCACAAACACACAGGATGCCCCCCACACCAGTCCAAACACCCAGGATCCACCCCAAAATCCACTAACCCCAGGATCCAAACACCGTCCACAAAACCCCAGGTTGCTCCCCCCAAGTCCATTAACACCCAGGAGGCCCCCCCAAACAGTCCACAACAAAGGACCCCCAAACCGCCCCACAAACACCCAGGAGCCACCCACACAAATCCCTAACACACAGGGCCACCCCCCATCCACTAACCCCCCCAGGATGCACCCACACAAACCCTTAACACCCGGATGTCACCCACACCAGTCCTCTAACACCCAACATGCCGCCCTACAGTCCATAACGCCTTCTTCACCCACACTAGTGCGTAACACCCGGATGTGACCTTCAACGGGCCAAACACCCGGGGTTTGAAACCCCCACACCAGTCCACAAACCCCCAGGTTTCCACCAACCAATGCCATAACCCCCCAGGGACCCCACCCTCCCAGTCCACAACACCCGGGGATTCCCCCAAAACCCCCGGGGCCATAACACCCAAATGCCACCCACACCAATCCAATAGCACACAGGATGCCACCCACACAAGTAAACTAACACCCAGGATTCACCCACACCAGGCCACTAACACGCAGGATGCCTCCCACACCAGTCCACTAACACCCAGGATGGCACCCTCATCAGTTCACTAACACCTGGGGATGCCACCCAAAATCAGTCCACAAATACGCAGGATGCCCACCACCACCGTCCACTAACACCCAGGATGCCACCCACCCAGTCCACTAACACCCAGGATGCCACCCACACCCAGGTCCATTAAATTTCCCAGGATGCCACCCACAACAGTCCACTAACCCCAGGTTTTCCACCCACACCTGTCCATTAACACACAGGATGCCACCCACACCAGTCCACTAAAACTCAGCATGCCACCCACACCAGTTAAGTAACACCAGGATGCCACCCAAACCAATCCTCTAACACCCAAGATGCCACCCACACCAGTCCACTAACACCCAGGATGCCCCCCACACCTGTCCACTAACTCCCAGGATGCCACCACAACAACCTCAAACTAACACCCAGGATGCCAACCACACCAGTCACCTAACACCCATGATGCGACCCAAAACCATTCCATTAACACCCAGGATGCCACCCACACCGGACCAATAACACCGTGGATGCCGCCCACACAATCTACTAACACCCAGGATGCTACCCACACAAGTCCACTAACACCCAGGATGCCACCCATACCTGTCCACTAACACCCAGGATGCCACCCACACCAGTCCACTAACACCCAGGATTCCACCCACACCTGTCCATTAACACAGAGGATGCCACCCACACCAGTCCACTAAAACCCAGGATGCCACACACACCAGTCCACTAACACTCAGGATGCCACGCATACCAGTCCACTTACACCCAGGATGCCACCCACACCAGTTCACTAACACCCAGAATGCCACCAACTCCAGTGCACAAACACCCAAGAGGCCAGCCACACCAGTCCACTAAAACCCAGGATGCCACCCACACCAGTCCACTAACACCCAGGATTCCACCCACACCAGTTCACTAACACCCAGGATGCCACCCACACCAGTCCACTAACACCCAGCATTCCACCCACACCAGTTCACTAACACCCAGGATGCCTCCATAACAGTCCACTAACACCCAGGATATCACCCCCACCCCAGCTCACTACCGCCCAGGATGCCGGCCACAACAGTCCACTAACACCCAGAATTCCACCCACACCAGTCCACTAACACCCAGGATGCCACTCATACCAGTCCACTATTATCCAGGATGCCACCGACATTAGTCACTAACACCCAGCATGCCACCCACACCAGTCCACTAACACCCAGGATGCCACCCACAACAGTCCACTAACACCCAGGATGCCACCAACAGCAGCCACTAACACCCAGGATGTCTCCCTTACCAGTCAACTAACACCCAGGATACTACCCACACCAGTCCACTAACACCCAGGATGCTACCCACACCAGTCAACTAACA